GAGAACACGGCGCCTGTTCACCCTAGTCTGGGAACGGTGACGCTTCCCACAGCCCAGATAGTTCGACTCCATCACGTGAAACACCCGACATCAACGGCAACGATCGAGCGGGAGCACTGGAGAGGGTGTCAAAGCGGGAGGAAGCATCGAGGGAATCATACCGAGGCGAGCAGTATATTAAATTGTCAGATTTAGAAGTCAAATAAACAAGTTTGAAGTCAAGAAATTAACGCTGTCTTCTTATTCACTGGTGGGGCAATCACAACATATAAATTTGGTGGGACGAACAACAACCATTACTGAGCTAGCCGCACAATCCAGTAGCGAGCATAAAAAGCAACAAAAACAGTTCGTTACAATAGAGTATAGGAAGGGTGATCGAATGGCGCATGTCGATTGTCTATCTAGGAATCCAGTGTCTGATCAAAATATTGAACAAAATATGTAATGTCCTGCCTTTTTTTTTCTTGTGTACTGTGCCGCTTGCCGACTAGCCATCGATATCCCAGGGAGGGGAACAACCATAGCGAACACTTACACGGCAGTCACAACAAAAATAAACAAAACGGAATTTTGAATCTACGATCTGAACATGGACTAAAAACAACGGATTTTGGGACAGATACATAAGGACTCAAAAGATAGAATTAGAGTCTTTTGAGGCCCGCCAACCATGGGTGCATCTTATATTGCACCTTCCTATTATTATTTTCGTGGTAGTAAGTATTACTTATGATTTTTGAAATAAGTTTGGAATAAAAACCTGTGGCCACCCAGGAATGAGTGGCCAATTTTCGGCGCGAAAAGTTGTCCTTTCCTGGTGGCTGGTCTTCTTCTATTCCTCCAGACTCTTTCCTGATCTAATTATTTGCTCCAGAATATTCTGTTTTTAAATCAAACTTTAATTTTACTTATCCAACATTACATTCATTTTTACACTCACTAGTAAGAATTATCAATATTATCTCTTCGCCCAAAAAAATACTCAAAGTTTTTTCAAATTCACCTTTTGGTAAACTTGGGAGTCTGTTATTCCTGGGGAACCAGTTCCAGAGGCTTAAAAAAGTCTGCCTGCCTTGCCTGGACTCACGTAGAATCGATAACTTGTTATCGGCGGCCGTTGGTAAACATATATTGTTTACATTTTATTTGGTTTTTATTTTCTTCGTTTGGCCGCACATAACAAGCACACTACGGTTTCGAGGCTTGTCGCGGAACAGGAGTGGAGAATGTGCGGTTGAGGAGGGTGAGTGAATTTTGTCCAGCCCAACGTAGGCCACCGCCCACGACCCTGATTTTAAAAACAAGGGAATACACTGAGCTAGCCGGGCCCTATTGTTTTAGATCCTTGGCATGGAAAATTCCCAAAGGATGGCCGCGCAAGCTTTCCAAAGCGTACAAAGAATTTCCCAACGCCATTCGTGACTCGGCATTTAGTGTACTTTCGGCAAAACTTGGAGTTCCTCTTATAGATTTCCTGTCCAAGTGAGTATCGAACTTCTCGGGCCTTCAGGTTGTAATTTTTCGCTGCTTTCTCGTAGGCCTGATGTATCCTTTCTTTTATCTTCTCCCTGTACAGCTGTTGTCGATCGGATCTAGGCAATTGGGCTATCTCTGATTCATTAAGAGCACCCAGCTTGCGAGCTAGCGAGTAATCTTTCCCATGCGTAAAGATATGTTGTCCGAACATGGCAAAATATGGATAATTTCCAGTGCTGTTGTGGACAGATGACCTCAATGACGCTTGTATGGCTGCTAAGTGTTCATCCCATCGTGTGTGGTCGTCCTGGATGTTCACTCGAATTGCGGCTAATACAGATTGATTTACTCTTTCTGAAGCATTGGATTGCGGTGCGTATCTTCCTGTTTTCATATGTGTAATCCCGTACTCTTGCAGCATATTCTCAAATTCCTGGGAGATGAATTGTCTTCCGTTGTCCGTGTGGATAATTTCCGGAACTCCATACTGTGTGAAAATATTTTCTTGCAGGAATTGGATCACAGCTGTCGACGTAGCTTTCGGCATCGCTTTCAACCATACAAATTTGGTAAAGTGGTCTAACACAATGAATATCATGGTATTTCCTCGGCGGGAGCGCGGATATTTTCCTAGGAAATCCAAGTACAACTTTTGGATAGGTCGATCCGACTGTACTTCCTTCCCCATCATTGGTTGTTTTACAACCAAACTCGTATGTTTGCTTTCCTTGCAGTTTTCACAAGCTGCTACAACCTCTCGGACTTGAACCACCATTTTGGGCCAGTAAAACATCTGTTGGAGTCTCGCTAAGGTCTTTCCCATACCTCCATGCATTGCCATGTTGCCGCAGTGAGCTTGCTGGATTAAGGTCGTCGTCAGAGCTTCAGGAACCCATAGTTTCCATTCAAACTCGTCGCTTTCTTCTCTTTTAAATTGTGTCTTCTTGAAGATAAGTCCTTCTTCGACACGTAAGTCCGGAAACTTATCATTTCCAGATATTCGGGACTTTCAAACTCTGTTGTCTTGAAGTCGAAGAACTCCATTTCGGCTACCTCATTTGGTCGGGATAACATGTCCGCCACGACGTTATCCTTGCCTTTTCGGTGTTCGATGTTGAAGTTGAATGCCTGCAACGCCAAAGACCATCGTGCCAATCTCCCGTTCAAGTCCTTGAGCGTCATTAGCCATTACAGGCTAGCATGATCGGTGACTATGGTGAACGGCATCAACTCCACATACGGACGGAACCTTTCCACGGCTTTTACTGCGGCAAGACACTCTTTCTCGGTGACGCTGTAATTCAATTGTGCTCCTCTGAGTTTCGCCGAAAAGAAAGCTATTGGTCGGTCCGATCCCTCTACGTCTTGTTGGTACAACACTGCCCCAATTCCGCCATGGCTGGCGTCGCCATCCCAAAATCTGGATGAGCCAAAACGGGTGCACAGGTGAGTGCTTCCTTCAGCGTTTCAAATGCCGTCGTTGCTTCTTCCGTCCAAGTAAATTTTGTTTTATTCTTCAGGCAGCCAGTGAGCGGTGCACTTACTCCCGAAAAATTTTGGATAAACCTGCGGTACCAGCCAGCCGTTCCTAAGAAACTGCGAAGCTGTCGAGTATTTTGATGCAGCTGAACTGGGATGAATCGGTTCCACAAAACATCGAACATGGATGGAAATCATTTATCGAGTCGTTATCGTCACTTGAAAGGCTCCCAGTGCCGCGATATTGCTTACAGCCAAACGAGGAAGGATTCGAACTTCATGGATTTAGCGATGCTTCGATACGTGCTTATGGCTGCTACACACGCACGATCGATTCGAAAGGCAAGGTTGTTGTGAGATTGTTTACATCAAAGGGCAGAGTGGCTGCTACACGAAAACTGTCTTTGCCAAAATTTGAATTGGCAGGGGCACATCTTTTGGCGAAGCTGATCGCAAATCATCGGTACAAAATATTTCTATGGTCTGATTTGCAAATCGTTTTATATTGGCTAGGACAGCACTCTGCTACATTATCAGCATTTGTAGGAAACCGTGAATCCGAGATATAGGAGTTGTCTGCGGATTGTAATTGGCGATACGTTCCGACAAAGGTTAATCTGGCGGATATGGTATCCAGAGTATCCACCCCCTTAGAACTAGCCGACTCAATTTGGTTCACTGGACCCTCTTATCTACTAGCTCTCATCTTCGTTGCCTTCGTATCGTAGCATGGATGCTTCGGTTCGCATACAGATCACGAAAAATAGCATCATTTGATGCAACCTTTCCGTCGCCAACAGAGCTGAATCAATCATTCCACTGCATTATTTGGAATCTACAAGGGCAGTCATTTTCGCAGGAGCTTCGATCTTTATACAGAGGTGAAGAAGTTCGAACACAAATAAAGTTTTTAACTCCTTTTCTAGGCACCACAGATGGATTTGCGCTAATGAAGGTCGGTGGCAGGCTACAACAATCGAATCTGCCAGAATCTCAAATACACCCAATCTTGCTCAGCAGCAAGGACGAGTTCGTTCGGCGCTACATCAAAAATCTTTACATCACAAATTATCACGCGGGTCCGAAGGCACTAGTTGCTATCATTCGTCTTCGTTTCTGGATTGTAAATGCTCGAGATGCAGCCAGACGCGTTGTTAGATCGTGCATACATTGCGTTCGTTATAAGCCACAGCTGCAGCGACAAATTATGGGAAATCTTTCGGTGGAGCGTTTAACAGTTTCAAGACCATTTGCACGATGCGGTGTTGACTTTGCTGGACCAGTCAACATATACATGCGCATAAGAGGAAAGGGCCCAACAAAGGGTTATATATGCATATTCGTATGCTTCGCGTCAAAGGCCGTCCATATCGAATTGGCTTCGGACCTTTCAATGGAGGCATTTATCGCGGCCCTAAAACGCATGATTGGGAGAGGCGGACTACCAACCGATATATTTTGTGACAATGCCACAAATTTTGTTGGGGCTTGTAACAAATTAAAGGCTCTCCACTATTTTTTGTTTAAAACTGTAGTATATAAGTAGATATATGTATATATTGAGTATTTTGAGTTATCGATAAATGTGCAATATGTGTGTATGAGCTGACTGCAGAGCAGAGCTCATACCACACAAACGAAGAAGATCATTAATAAATATATCGTGAAACGAAACAGACGTGTTTTGGTCTACAATCTCAGATGTGGGATTAACTGTGCTTAAACGAGAGTACATTTTTTTTTACTTACTCGCTATTCCTGACAAACAATTTAAAAGACCAAAAACGACATTATGGAGAAAATTATTGAAAATTTGAGTTTAGTCGAGAAAAAACATTATGCCAAAAATTAGACGTGCCAAGTTCGGACAACAAAGCTACACTGAAATCACGATTATTAGAAAAAAGTCCAAGTGAATTACAAAAATCGTTAAGCCAACTAAAAAATAACACTCCAAAAAAACTTGAAAACAAACAAAATGACAATATTAATACAAAAACTCCACAAGGAAAAAGTAATGATAAAATTAAAAAGCTACAAATTTGTGAAATTCAGACGCTACGAAACTACAACGACGTCAAAAATGCAGACGAAGTTCTAGAAGCTGGCGCCAACGCCGAAGGAGACGACGAAGACATAACAGTTATGATTGAGCAGAGAAGCAAAGTAGATACAGAAGAAATAGAAAAAGTGCGTGAAGAAGAAAACGAACTAAATATACTGAGACCAGAAAATGAAAACCTAAAGAAACAGTTAGAAATGTTTAAATTATGTTCAGTTGACAAAAACGAAAGAGCTAGTGATGCTTTTGAACATCAAAAGTGGCAACCTGGAGAACCATTTGGTTTATATTTCAACGAAAAATTAGTTTTGGCCAATAAATTAACGATTGATGAAGATTCACTTATTGAATATATAATTGATGGTATACCTAATCGTCAAATAAAAAATCAAGTGATTATGCAAAAAATTGATGACAAAGAGAATTTACTTCGAACATTAGCTGATGTGGAGCTCAAGATGCCGGCAAGTCGAAATTCAGAGGCTGCCCCAAACAACGCTATGAAGGAAAAAAGAGATGACTACAAAAAGGGAGAACGTTGTTACAACTGCAACAGTGTCGGTCATTATGCGGCTGAATGCAACAAACAGAAACGTAAGCCTGGATCGTGTTATGCCTGTGGAAGCGCAGCTCATACTGTCAACGACTGTTTGATGAATAAGAAGAAGAAGACCCCAACGCAAAATGATTATGTAAGATTATTTAAGTTTTATTTAAGCCAGAGAAATAACAAAAATTTTATTTTAGAATGTTTGATTGATTCCGGCAGCCCCATTGTTTCATGCAGCAACGAATGCTACCTAGAGGAGTTTATTTAATAAGTAATGAAAATATGTTTTTTGGTATAAATGAAACAAAATTAAATGTATTTTGAAAACTATTATGTTACACAAAGATTGAAATTGAAATGTATGTGGTTGCTAATGAATCAATGAAACACAATGCATTTTAGGACGCGATTTTTTGGCTAAGAGCAATAGTAAAATCATATGGCTTGAGACAAAAAACAACAGTACAGTTGAAAAACATAATGATTCAAAAGAAAATATAAAAAATAACTTGAAGCTTAAAAATGATTGCAATTTCTGTGAAAAAAAATTTTGAAGAACAAATTTTAAATGTAAACGTAGAAGAAACTGAATTACATTTGAACGATGGTGAAAACATTGATTATAAAATTAAGAATAAATTAGTAGAAATGTTTAAGGAAACATATGTTAATTCAAAGCGACCTGATACACAAAATGTTCGTACAGAAATGAAACTTGTTGTAAATGATAGCAAACCATTTAATTGTCCTCCTCGTAGGTTATCACATATGGAAAAGCAGGAATTACAGAAAACATTAGATGATTATTTGTTAAAAGGAATTATTAGAGCTAGTGAGTCTGAATATGCATCCCCTATTGTGTTAGTGCGTAAAAAGACAGGTGAACTACGTATGTGTGTCGATTTTCGAAACCTTAACAAAAATACCGCCAAACATAATTATCCAATCCCTTTGATTGATGATCTTTTAGAAACTTTACTAAATAAAAAGTTGTTTTCAAAATAAGATCTTAAAAATGGATTTTTCACGTGTTTATGAATGAAGAGTCAATAAAATATACTTCATTCATTACACCTTTAGGTCAGTACGAGTTTTTGAGAATGCCATTTAGTCTTAAAAATGATCCGTCAATTTTTCAGATGTTTATAAACGAAGTTTTTGCTGACTTGGTTAGACAAGGTAAAGTTATTATTTATTTAGACGATATTATGATAGCAACAGAAAGTATTAGAGAACACTTAGAGATTTTAGAAGAAGTTTTGAAGCGAGTTGTAGAAAATATGTTAGAGTTACGGCTAGACAAGTGCGAGTTTACGAAAAATTCTGTTAAATATTTAGGATATACGATTGATGAAAAAGGAATTCGGGCAGACGAAACAGGACTAGAAGCTATTCGAGATTTTCCGATACCGGAGAAAGTAACTGCAGTACAAAGTTTTTTGTGACTATGCTCATACTTTAGAAGATTCATTAAGGATTTTTCAATCATTGCTAAACCTCTTTATGATCTTACGAAAAAAGATAAAAAATTTATGTTTGGCCAAGAAGAATTAGAAACATTTGAACTGTTAAAAGAAAAATTTTTAGAATCGCCAGTATTAGCATTATTTAATCCAGCGGCAGAAACGGAAATACACTGTGATGCAAGCATTCTTTTTTTTTTTTAACGCGCGTAGTGTCACGGCCCACTTACCCGCCCAACCGACCGAGGGGCGACCGCCGTGTATCGTAAGGCACGATTCGCGATATTTTTGACGCGATTTTTAAAAGAAAAAAATTAAGGAAAGAAAAGTTAAGTTAAGTTAAATTTTATTTTAATTTTAAATTTAAAATAAAATACGACGCGCGTGTCCCACGGCCACACCTCCCGCTCAACCGACCGAGGGGCGCTGCCGTGTATCATACGGCTCGGTTCACGAGAGAAGAGTCGCGGCTTAGAAAAATAAGAAAAAGGCCGAGGAAAATGAGGAGGAAGACAATGAGATCTAATTATGAGCTAAAAAAGTTAGAAGAGATCGCTTTAAGAGTGGCAGAGAGTCAGAAATAGATATAATAGGATAAAGTCTATTATAGTCAGAACACAATACTCTGTAGGGATCATGCAGTTCATGGTTAGATCTACATTGATTTAAAATTAGGGGGATGTAATTTCTGGTTAATCTACTTGGAACAGAAAAGTTTAGCCTGCTAACTAAGTCGGGGCTTAGTTATGTAAGGGTCGTCAAATTCCTTTGACCACCTTTTTATAAATCCAAGCACACTCCCGGCTTTATTCATCATAGACGAAATATGGATAGAAAATTTTTATTTTGGGTCCAGAAGAACACCAAGGTCATCCACCTGAGTTATTCTGTCCAAAGAGCATCGGGTCAGTTCGACAAAACGTCATAAGCTTACAATTAGAGCAGTTTAAGTTGAGTAATACTGCACCATTTTTGTAAGCTATCTAGATCGGATTGTAAATTCGAACGGCAAGAAATGTCCTTAATAAATAAGGTAAATAGTAGCGGGCCAAGGTGGCTCCCTTGAGGGACGCCGGAGGTGACTCGGGGAATACAAGTCAGTGACTTCTTAAAAGGGACCCTTTGTGTCCTGCCATTCAGATAACTTAAGATCCATTCTAGAAGATCAACTGGGAAACCTAATAAGTCAAGTTTCCTTATAAGAAGTGAATGATTCACAGAGTCAAATGCTTTACTAAAGTCAGTGTAAATGACATCTGTTTGAAAATTGTGTTTAAAACACCTAATCACGAATGAAGTAAACTCCAAGAGATTAGTGGTTGTTGATCTTTGTTTTATAAAACCGTGTTGACACGGTGAAATTATTGACCTACACAGGTGCTGCAAGTGAGGGGTGATAACTTTTTCAAAAAGCTTAGGAATGGCAGACAATTTAGAGATACCTCTATAATTGCTTGCATCCGATTTGTTACCTTTTTGTGAAGAGGAATGACAAAAGACTCCTTCCACATATGGGGAAACTGTGACGTTTCCAAAGAGAGGGTAAAAAATTTGAGAAGCGGCTTGCACAAGGCTTCCGCGCAATATTTAAGCACACAGCCAGGAATTCCATCGGGGCCTGGCGAATATACAGGCTTAACACGCTAAAGATCGCAAAGTAGGGAGCTCTCGCTTAACATGGGACATAATACTAAATTCGACTTGGATACAGCATAAGAATAGGGCTGATCATAGTGAGGTAAGTGAGGTGAGTATGTTTTTTGAAAAAACTGGGCAAATAAATCGGCTATTGCCTGATCCGATGTTGCCGTAGTATTTTGAAATGATAACGAGGAAGGGAAAGAAGATGTTTTACGCTTAGTATTAACGAAATTATAAAACTGTTTCGGATCCTGCGCAAACTGGACCTTCCAACGGTTTAAATAGTTTTTTTTAATACTGAGCATTAAGCACGGTAAAATTTGACCGAGCTTTTAAATATTTTGAAAAGATAGAGTGAGAACCGGTATCTTTAAATTTCCTATAAAGTCTGGATTTTACATTTCTTAAGTGTGTCAACTCTTTATTGAACCAAGGAGGTTTGCTAGAGATAGACGGATAGTATTTCGGAACACAAGAATAAAAAAAGTCTGGATTACAGTGTAAAATATATTTATGGCATCCGCCATATTATTGCAAGCGTAAAGATCGGACCAATTATAGCAAGATATTAAATTTCTTGGCCTCAAAAAGTCTGCCTTGCGAAAACAGTAAATTCGTTCGGAGTTAAGAATCTCCGACTTTTACCACGTTTCTGTAAACACAATAATATGGGATGCAAAGAAAAGCTATCAGAATGCAATTTAGTTAGCTTGCTACGCAAGCCCCTTGCATTTTGATAGGAAAGAAGATGGCTTGATGTTAGTTTTTTAAGGAAGAGGAAGATGAATATGAAGGTTTAGTGGTCTGGCCACTCGAAGGAAGTTTTATTCCCACGGTCCTTTTTTTTATTTTTGATCCTAGCTTCGAACTCTTTTACCACCATATTATCCGGCCAAAAATTGCCCGAACATATGGTTGAAAAAGCTCGTCCGGGACAGTGATCCTGAAAGATGAAATATCCCAAGCGTAAGAAAAGTTAAATTTTTCCACTTTAATATTATCGGCCTTTGTTTTGCCTTGTATATAAGACAGTACATCGGATGAAGAATTGATCAGGGGAAAGCCGAGAAACGAAAATCTGTTTCTTAAGTGGAACCACTGAAAGGGGTTTTGGCACTACAGTTTGTATTTCTGCAACACCAACTTGAGCCGGTAAACCGGCCTCAAAGTTCCCTTTTGGCGGTAAACAATTTGGGGCAAGTGGAATCACTGGTTGTATGACCAGTGCGGACGAATCGGATAAGCTCGGGGTGCCGGTCTGAATGCTCTCCACTGAGGATTGATCGGAATGAACCGAATCTTTTTTTGCTGCCGATCTAAGCAACATTTGAGGTTTTTTTCCGGTTTTCGGCTGCTCCTCAGTGGAGACCTTCTGGTCAACTGCGTGGGGCTGCGGGGTGCTCCCCTTCGGCTGCCTTCCACCAGCGGCTTTTTTGCGCTTTGGAGACACATCCAACAGCTTATAGCCATTGAATTGAGAGTCCAGCGCTGAGAGGAAATCATCTGCTCGGCGAAAACTATCTCTAGCCACGCCATGAACGATTTCATTTTGTTCGCAACCCCAAGACATGTATCACACAAGTACTTCAGGTTTGGACCCTTAGCTAGGTCATCACCTGTTCGGCCGTTAAAACCAGCGCACTTAGTTTGCACCATTTTATCACACAGCCAACAAGTCATTTTTGGTTGATCACGCTTTATAACCTGACAACATTTTTGATAACAACAGACCACATTTAGTTCCATAGTTATTTGCTTCTTACCACTGTATGAAGAAAAACAAAACAAAAACTTGTAGCGAATAGGTAAATAAAATAAAAAAAGGTAAAAAAAAATTTTTAAGTTAAACCGTTTTATGTAAAACATGTACTAAATGTACTAAAAGCCTAAAAATAATATAAAATAGATACAGACGTGGGAATTATAAACATATGCTTAGACTAGACTAAAATAAAACCGTGGGGCAAACAAACATTTTAATCAGCGATTGTACACAATTGACTTGCCCCACGGTTTTATTTTAGTCTAGTCTAAGCATATGTTTATAATTCCCACGTCTGTATCTATTTTATATTATTTTTAGGCTTTTAGTACATTTAGTACATGTTTTACATAAAACGGTTTAACTTAAA